ATTTTAATAAAAATTAATGACCACATGAATCTTCAGTTGATTTGAAGATATAATAAAACTTACTTTTTTTTGGATGATTTCCAAGTTCAGAGTCTACTATGATAAGAACACTAACTTGAAAACGAAGAAAAGAAACATTGCAAACGTTCGATTGCTTGTTAAACTTCCTTACATATATAAAAGACTAAATGCTAATTTCCTAAGAAAAACTAAAAAATAATATGGCTACGATTTCTGGTTAACCCGCTCGCATTCATCGATCCACTCACAGTATATGTCTATAGGCTCGGTCAATGGAGTGAGATTGGTCTCGTAGCCAGCGTGACATATGGAGCATGAGATTTCGCCAATGTTCAGATCCTTGTCGAAGGAGCACCCAACAGTGTTTTCAAGTTGGCAGAATGGGCAACGAAAGACTGTATCAAGCTTTAGCTTTGGCTTCTTCACAGGACGGTTGTTTGATCTTGACTTTCTCCTTGCCATTGTGAATATAAACAGATTGCTCTCAAAACAAAGAAGATTAGTGAGTGAATGGTAGGTGTTTTTGATTCAGGGCTGGCAAATAATATGATATGATAGGGTTTATTACGTGCTTCTTTTATATAGTGCATTGCCACCGACTTTATCCCGTTATAATGAGAATCCTGAATTTCTGATCCACATCGGATTAGATGGTTGATGGGTATTTTTTCTCTGGCTCCTTGAAAAATTCCGAACGGGCCTCGGAATGGTTGGGCCCCGAATTACAAACTAATTTTTCTTTATTTATTTTTTATAATGAATTACCCTACAAGCTGATATCCGGGCAAAACGCAGAATGTTTGCATGTTAATTTGATCACTTTTAGTCCACTTGAAGGAAAAAGTGTAGGCAAGAAGCAAGAACAAGATCTCTATCACCATTGAAATCATGCCTGAAGTTGTCCAGTAAACTTGATTTCCACTCGTCCAACGTCTTCTTCTGAAAATTAAAATCCAGATGCATGTGTGGTTGCAGGATTTGATTATACGCTACGAAGAAGGGTGTCTTCAAAAGTAATGCCTGGTTCAAATGCTAAGGCAAGTCGCTACCTTTCCCCTCCTTTCTTCCACTCTTCCCTCATATCTTCCAAAACACACAGACCATGGTGTTGTTGCTGATGTTACCATAGTCCATTAGACAAAGAAACTGGGGTTCTTTGATTGTTTTCGGCTGTGTCCTCACTTTAAGTTCAGTGACACCTCCATAACAGCCTAGCTAGGAAGTAAAACATTAAACAGCCAACATCACTCCGTAAGCCCAGATGACTAGCGAGGTCTCACTGGAAGAAACATGGAGAAAGTGGGTGATAGCTTCTACCGGCCCTCCCCCGTTCCTCGATGCAAGAAACGCTTGCTTTCAATACCTTCTAAACAACTGATGGATTAGCTATTTCGAGCCTTCTCTTGATTATTGGAGAGCCCTCGGTTGCAAGCTCAGGCTACTTGTCTAGTATCTGCTTGAACATGACTGCATCTTGTCTTCACACACAGTAGTGATCACAGGAATCGATTCATGATGTGCACCATTGACAACTGACATATAGAGCCTGCGACCTCGCCAGTGTTCAACTTCTTGTTGAAAGCGCCCAACCCTGACTTCATGTTTGCAAAATGGACCACGAAAGAACTTCACAGGACGGTTTGATCTTCACTGTCTCCTTCCCATTGTAAATACAAACAGAATTCTTTCTTGGATTAGAAATACCAGAAAGAAGATTGGTGCGCGAGCGAGCAGAGTAGTTGTTGATTCAGGGCTGACAAATAATTTGGTGGGTCATATGGTTTACGTCTACTAACATTATTAATAATCATTTAACATCATTGACACATTGGCCATGGACATCATAAGTTAGTCCATTAACCAGAGTTAATTGTTGAATTTTTTTATAAAAAAAATGTATAAATTCTCCTTTGTAAATAACAGTTTACTCCAACGAAGTTGTTCTTCTCGTCTGGCATTAAAAAAAGTAATAACAAAATTTATTTATTTGATTGGAGCAGGATTATTGGATTGCAATTTGCAGGTATTACTCCATCCAATGGCAGAGCTATCCTATCGAGGTACATGCAGACTGTTAACATGTCTGACCTTCAACCCATCCAAGGTGAAGGAAGAAACTGTAGTGTGAACTATGAAGCAAGAAAAGTTTTGATACTAGTTAGGTGATTGCATAAAAATATCAAAAGGAGGTAAAAAAAAATTAAATAAAAATATTTAATATTCAAGTAATTGGCTCGAAAGAATTTAATAAAATTAGTTAATTTAATAATATAATTAAAAAATAAAATATCAACAATAAATAAAAAATAATAATTTAATGCAAAAGATAAACGCTTGCCAATATTATAAAAATATTCTCAAAACATTTCCATGACTTAATTTATTAACAAAGTAAATTAAAAGAGAATAGAATAATTGTATATAAAAAAATATGCAAAAAAATATTAATCTAAAAAAATAAGATAAAAAAATTAATTACTGTTAACTTTTTAAAATGTGACCCGGGTTATAAAATCGAAAGCACTGTACATTAAAAAATCATGAAGGTTAAAATTATAGTAAAAAATATTAAAAAAAAAGGCAAAAACAAATTTTAAATTTGAGAGTTAAACTGAAAAGAATAAAAACATTAACAAAATAATAAAAATGAAAAGAACAAAAATCAAAATAAAAAAATACATAATAAATTGGAATTAAAGGGTGAAACTAAAAAAAATGAAACTTTAATTAAAAAGTTAAGAGAAAAAATTAAAAAATCATAAAAATACACATCAAATCTTTAACATCAAAATATAATTAAAACAATGAATATACATAATTCTTCAACATGTTTTTTTACACTAAAACAATTTATAAATGTAAATCGAAAAACTTATGCACGCATTTTATTAAACAACTCAATAACAATTGTGTAAAGCAATTAAAAAAAATTATCAACAATAAACAAAAATAAAATTCAGAAAACCACGCAAAAAATAAAGATCAAGACATCGAACATCGCAATATAGGTGTTTTACTTAGTTATGTTTAATGAATTTTTCTATCAAAATAAATTTGAATTGCAAAGCATATAAAATTTGTAATAGAAACTGATACATATATAAAATTTATTGAATAAAAAAATAATGCTAGACAGCACATCTAAAAAATCTTATAAAAAATAATATTTAAAAAAAAATTAATCAATATAATTTTTTTAAAAAAAAAACCATAGATGAACTAATCTTATAAAAAATAATATTTAAAAAAATTAATCAATATGATTTTTTAAAAAAAAAACCATAGATGAACTATACTTACATCTTTAAAATATTAAACACACTTAATATCATTTAAAAATAATCACAATCTAATTAAAATATAAACCCAAAATTTATTTCAAAAAAATAAACATAAATAATACATTATTTTAAAACAAATTTAAAAAAAAAAAGAATCAGGTTAGGTATTGATTGGCCTAGTAAGCCACACTTAGATATATTTTCTAGGTATCTTTAAGGTAAAAAAAAATATAAATGTAATTTCCCTCATCATATGAAACTCTTTAACACAAAAATCATTTGTTTTGGTGCTCGTAATTTTCTCTGATAGCTACTTTCTTTTTCTAAGCTAAAATTTGACGATTCCCTCTCTCTTCTCCTAAAAAACCTCCAAAAAATGAAATTAAATGTTAAAATATATTTTCTTAAAATTAAAGGAATTGGTCATCTAATTTCTAAAAAAAATGAGGAATTAAAATGAATGTGTTAATGAAAGTTTCACCTTGTCTTCTATCATAACTCAAGATTTTCATTTTAGTTCTTTGTATGAATGTGTTAATGAAAGTTTCACCTTGCCTTCTATCATAACTCAAGATTTTAGTTCTTTTTCTTTCAATTAAACTCTTTCTCCTAAAAAAATGTGAATTTTAAAGCTAATTTGAGCTAAAAAATATCAAATAGTACAAAATAAAAATTTTAAAATTAAAATAAAAATTAAAAAAATATATTACGGTGATTCACAATATATCATGAAAGATTGCACACCTTATTTATATATCTAGGCCTGGATTACTTAAAAATCTTACAATGCGGTTTGGTTTAATTTGTGATGATCGAGGGATATTTAATTATTACAAGGGTAATTTCTATCTAGCCTTTGCATGGCACAACAATGAAGCATGATTATAAATTAGGGTGAGGTTATTTTTGTGCTCTAGAAGTTAATATTTACGATAATACAATACATAATACTCACAAGGAAACCATCATCACATAATAATTATATTTATTAAATTCAATTAAGTTAACTTTAAAAACTCAAGTTAGAGAAACTCTGGGTCTTAAAACTTCATTAAATCAAGTTTTTATATAAATAGAATAGGATATTGATTTGATGTAAATAGTTACTACTAGATCTAATAAGTTAGGCCCAGCACCCGGCTGGTGCATGATGGCCACTGAAAGCTTACATGATCGTTAACTTCAGGGCCTGTGGAATTAGTCATAATACGCGTAAGCTAACCCAAACACCCACGTTAATTTAAAAAAAAAAATAACTGGTACACGAGTCTCCAAATATATATTAAAAAAAGGATTTATCATTTGCATTAGTAAACGACACATTGTCTGGAAAATCCAAAATTCAACTGGTGTTCAAGAAAAACAAGATTTTTTTATGTAAAAACTCATTCTTAACCCAAAACACCAAAAAAACTATTAACAAGTGTTACTCCATCCAGTGGCAGACCTATTCTATCAAGGTGAATGCAGCCTGTTAACATTTCTGAACTTCAATCCATTCAAGGTAAAGGAAGAAACTGTAGTCAGGAAGCAATATATATATATATATATATATATATAGACACACACCAACATTATTGCCCTGCAATAGCTGGCTTCCGCTTTAGAAAAGATCTACATGAGCATTAATATTTCCAAGCACAGGTTGTGATGATAAATTGCAATGGAAAGACAGTTAAAAAGTTCAGTTCTGTGGAAATTTCTTAGATTTCATTTCTTTTGAGTTACTACATCAGAAACAGCATAACATGAGTAGCTTCATTATGAAAAATAAAAACCAAATGCATATATGTAGCTGCAGGATTTAATTATAGGCTACGAAGAAGGATGCCTTCAAAAGTAATGCCTGGTCCAAAAGCTAAGGCAAGTCCCCATTCTTCCCCTCCTCCTCTCTTCAACTCTTCCTTCATATATTCCAAAACATAGACTATGGTATTACTGCTGACATTCCCGTAGTTGATTAGAGCCCTCCTGCTGCATTCCAGCTTCTCTGTGTTTAATTTGAGATTGCTCTCTAGCCTGTTAAGTATTGCCGGGCCACCAGGATGGACTGCCCAGAATAAATCATTGAACTCAGTTAGACCAGCCTTTGACATAAGCTTCCTGCAAAACTCCTCAATGTTGTCTTCAATTTTCTGAGGAAGATCCCTCCCAAGCTTGAAGTTTATGCCCTCTTCAGAAAGGCGTCCATCGATCACATTCTGCGTACCTGGCAAGAATTGTTGAACAGCATAGCTCAGCTCCATGAAAGGAGACTCTTTACCTATTACAGGGTCAGCTCCGATGATCACAGCTGCAGCTCCATCACCAAAGAGTGCGGCCCCCACAAGGTCGTAAGGGCGTGCCTTGTTTGGAGGGCGAAAACCAAGAATCGTTGTCTCAGAAGTAGTTAATAAGATACGGCTTCCTGGGTTGTTTTCAGCTATGTCCTTGGCAACTCTAAGTCCAGTGACGCCTCCATAACAGCCCAGGAAGTAAAGCATTACTCGGCCAACGTCATTCCTTAGTCCAAGCTGACTGGCAAGGTAGAGATCACCACCCGGTAAGCGTATCTCACTGGAAGAAACATAGACAACATGGGTGATATCTTTTACCGACCCACCCCATTCATTGATGCAAGCAATGCTTGCTTTCAGTGCCATCTCAACAACTGCCGGATTTGCTATTTCGAGTCTTTGCTTGATCGTCGGAGAGCCCTCTGTTGCAAGTTCCGGGTATTTTTCTAGTATCTCCTTGGACATGACCGTGTATCTTGTCTTCACAGTAGTGCTTTTACCTAGCCAAAGAGAATGGAATTCAAAGTTAGAGAAACCTGCCATTTAATGGAATAAAAGAGTATTAATAGGAGGAATTTGAGTTACAAAGTCGCTCCAGTTTCTCCTTAATGGAAGCATCATCGCATTTGGTGTCACGCATATAACCCTCCACCAAGCATTCCTGAGGAACAAGTTGGCTGGGGAAGGCCTTGCCTGTTGCAAGTATTGTTGCCTTGCCTGGAGTGGGTGCGCGCCCAGTGAGTGTGGCATGGTGCTTTGAAGCCCCGTTGCCAATCGTTTTAGACATCTTCAACAGGTTTAGGAAGAAGATAGTTTGGTACAAAGAGAATTGAATGGATGAAGCATCACAAAGCAGGGAAATATAAACGAGAGCTAAACTTGATCTTGGAGAAAGGTTGGTGCCAAGGATGAGAAGCATGAAAAATTAAAAAAGTATACTTTAATAAAATTCTGCTAATGTTTCTGGTTTTTTTTTTTGGTTGGAAGCTAGAAGGCTTGAAGGGGGTGACAATTGTTTCCTTCTTTTCTTAAAGGGTTGTGGTTGTTTTTTAACCGAATTCAAACTTACCTTCTTTCTAAAGTAGAAAAATATGTTGGCAAAGCTTGGGTGCTAATAAAACTGCATACTCACACCAAGCAGCAGCTAGCAAATACATATAAGATTTTTTATTTTTCTCCCTTGCATGGTGCATGACAAACGCAAAATGAGTGAATATATCAAGTTTATTTGAAAACGTGGTTGAAACCATATTTTTTAAAATTTTAATTTTTTATTTAATTTTTTATTAAAAATTAAAAATATTATTTTTTTATATTTTTAGATTATTTTGATATATTAATTTTTAAAAAATTATTTTAATATATTTTTTAAAAAAAATACTTTTACCTACAACTATTATTTCAACCCAAAAAGTTCTATTATTACAACCCTAAAAAATTCGAAGGACCGTAGTCATCAGCAAAAGTAAATAATAATAAGATTTTCCCGTTTGACAATAATAGCACCATGCCATTAACATCATTAAACACTGTTCCGTTGCCTACTGAACATGATAAACAAGATTACACATGCAAGAGCGAGATTATGTTTGAAAGTATTATAAAGTTATATCTTTCAATCTTACTTAAAAAGTTAAACCATTAAATTGAAATAATTATTTAACATAATATCAAAATTTTAATAATATAATTAATATGAATATATACAAATTTTAAATTCAGAAAATTTTTATTTGAAAAGAAATGTATTAAAGAATAATATAAAATTATATTTTAAAATCTCACTTAAATTAATAAATAAATTATAATGATTCTTTCACACCAATAAACAACAAATATTACATTTTGAAAGATGACAGGAAAAATTAAAATCTTCATCTGAAAATGAAATGCGGTCTAATTATGAAAATTAAATTCTTGTGCAGAAGAGAGCAACAGCTTGACGCAGAGAGATTTTATGTTCAGGCTCAAACAATTTTACATAAGCCAAAGCCAGGAATTCAGAAGAATCATGTCCATGCTCCATCAAGACAGCCCTCTGCACACCAATAAATGAGTTAAAATGTCGCTGCATCGAGCTTAATTTGAGAAAGAAAGTGATAATATAATGAAGTACAGACAGAAAGGAAAGGCCCTGGTTGATTACCTGACCATGTGAACAGGTTCAGTTGAAAGACATTGGGTGCTGCTCAGCTGGTTCTGCTGCTGAGCTGTGAAGCAGTGCACTAATGCTAGAGTTCCGTGGTCCATATACACTTTAAAGGTTCAATCATCTCAAACTTATTCAAAGGGTAAAACTAGCTGAAAGCTTGAACAGAATGTAGCATTACTGTCCAGTGACTGAACTCAGCAATGGCCTAGTTATATGAGACCAGAAGTGAGAAGGATATGCATGGTCAAAGTGTTTGTGCCCTGTTGAAATGTTCGTATAGGGTGCTAATCCGCAAAATAAGTCAAACCACTTCAAAGAGACTTCAGAGAAGTAAAGTTTGCTCACTTGAACAGTGCTATCACACCTTGAGATTGCTGCCAGATCTAATTTTCAGAGATCTGCCAGCTGCCTCTCATCGGGCATCCTCTTAGATACAAATTTTGCTTCCTCTGATCTTCCCCCAGCCTCCAAGGCAGTTCTCAAACCTTCTAGGCAGCTCAACTGCTGATGGTTACTTTTCTCCACTAGCTTGTAGTACAACCCAAATGCTTCTAAAGGTCTTTTCATTTTACACAGACCTTCAATAACTACATTGCACACGTTAATATCCACAGTGTGACCCTTCTCCAAACAAAATGACAACATCTTCTGTGCGTCTAGTAACTTCCCATTCTGGCAAATGAAACCAATCAATTCTTCCATGTCAACCACATATCCATTATCATAAAGTAATTCAACAATCTGGAATGCTTTATTTCGCAGTCCACTACCAAAGAGCAACCTCATGGTATGTGTTGAGAGATTGATATTTTGTCTAATTTTTCTGTCTATCATCAATACAACAAAGCTAGCTGATTCACGGGCAAAATCATGTTTCAGAAGTTCTGAAAGTATAGAATGGAAAACAGAAGTTTTAGGTAGATAGGAACTTTTTAGCATCCTCTCCAGGGTCTTGTAGGCCAGAATTGGTTCACCTTTCTGCAAGAAACCGTTAATCAACAGCACGTAGGTTTCAAAATCAGGCACATAATCTCTTCTCAACATATAGAGCAGGAGCTTATACCCAGCCTCAAAAGTACCTTCCTTACAGTGCCCAAGGATCAAGGTCTTGTATGAAGGAGGATCTTGTGTTCCCTTTTTCATTAGCTGCCTGAACACTCTCTCAGCCTTGCTAGTCTTTCCATTTTTACATAAAAAATCAAAAATTGGATTGTAAGCCGCAACAAGAGGAGTACAGCCATCATCACGTAACAAAATATCATCATCAGATAGCTCGTCGAACAATTGCTCTGCCCTCTCAAAATCCCCCCTTTGACACAAATTCCTGATCAAAACACTATATGTAGCTGAGTCCGGTTGGACTTTCAACTCCTTCATCTTCTTAAACATCTTCAGAGCCTCATCGAAATTCCCTGCATCACACTGTGAATTCATCAAAGTGTTATATGTACAAGTATCCGGAACAAACCCTCTACCCCCCACAGCTCCCCCCAAAATCTCTTTGATCTTATCAAACTTCTGCACTTCGCAAAGACCCTTTATAAGGGTGTTGTAGGTAATATCATTAGGTTTTAACCCTCTACTAACCATCTCTTCAAAAACAACCAGAGCCTCATCAATCTCTTGTTTCATACAATACCCTCTAACCAAAGTAGTATAAGTAACAACATCAGGACTCAAATCCTTCATTTTCTTAACCATCCCTTTAACCACATTATGTGCAATCCTGACCTTCCCCGCCCTACACAACCCATCAACAAGTGTATTGTAAGTAACCACATCAGGCTCACAATTAAACCTTGACATTTCCTTGAAAAACCTAAACCCTTCATCAACCATCGAATTCTTACAAAAGCCTCTAATCAAGATATTAAAAGTATATGTATCCGGCGTAACCCCGTAAGTCCCACACATTTCATCAAACACACTATGTGCCATGTTAGTCCTTCCTCTTTTAAGCAAGATTAACAAAAGACTATTAAATGTAATGACAGATGGTGACACCCCACTTGACTTCATTAAACTAAAAAGCTTTATAGCTTCATTAAACAACCCAGCATTACCATAACTCCTCAACAAAGTGTTACAAAACCTATCTTCAATCTTAACACTCCCATTGGACCTTCTCTCAATAGAAAACAAAAAATTACGAGCAATATTGAGATTTCCATTACGACCCAAGATTTCTAGCATCATAAAATACGATCGGCTATCATGAGTGAACCCGTTTCTTGAAGCCCAGTTGAAAAATTCAAAAGCTTTTGATGGGGAAGCAATAAAGCGAAGAACTTGAAAGAAAGTGGTTTTAGAAATTGAAGGAGAAAGAGAAAAAAGAGAAGATTCAAGTTCAGTTGACCAGGGTTTTGAGTTGATGAGTCTTGCCATTGATTTAGCTGTCTTGGATTTGTTTGAGGATTTTCTTGGCTCATTAACATTATCAGCGTCCAGTTGTTCTCCATTGGAAGATGAGTAGTGCCTGGAATTAAGTAAAAAGACAGATTCTTTTTTTTAGTTAAGATTAAGAAAACATGGAAAGAAAGGAGAGGCATGAAGTGGGAAATTTTGAGTTACCTGAGAACTAAGAGGAGTGGTGCTTGGACTTGAGAGTTGACGTTGAAGAAGAATTGTCTTCCAAAGAGTGCCCGCGTCCGAGAATTGGCAATGGGGGTCATGGGGAATTATTTGTTATGCAGGAGATGATGATTTCGAAGGCTTTCTCGTATCTGTGGAGCGGAAGCTGAGAAAGCGCCGGTTTCGTTTTATTACGATTTTTGGAAATTTGCAACTTTTTTTTTTTTCAAATTATAAAACTCGAGACCGGATTATGAATCAAGAAAATCAAATGTCTAGCATCCACCTATTCAAATCGGAGCCATAACACTCAGATCAGTACAAGAATGGTGGGCCTGCTCGTGCATTCTGATAAAAAAAATGGTGGGCCTGTTCCATTACAAAGAAATTGGGCTGGACTGGGGGAAAGATCCACAGTAAATGTTTTAGTTTCAAGAAAATTTGGCCCATTTATTTGCCTTGTTACAGTCCAGTCCAGAGTAGCAACTGCCATCACTTTTCCAGCAGCTACAACAGCAGAAACAACGGACGGTACAGAAATGTTGACTTTGAAAAGTCGGAAGGTGACAATACGTTCATGCCAAAACAACCAATGTCTTTAGATCGTAAGGCTGGAATCCAGCTAATCTAGATCCATTCAAATCCAACATGTTTTTTAATATTTTTTTCTAATTTTAAATTAATAATTTTAATATTGTAATATTAAATTAACATGATAAAATTCTTTATATATAGTTAATTTATTTCAGTTAATATGTGATTTATATTGATCTCTCGCAGGTTTGATGTTGTAGATTTTTGTTTTAATTTTAATTTTTTTATTATATTAATTTTGATAATAAGTTTATTTTATCATTAAATATTTATATTTTTTTAAGCCAATTACACAGTTACTCATAGAAATAAATATCAAAATGATTATAAGCTCTAAAATACAGACTTTTCTTTCTCAATGCTCATGAAGCCCTAAAATGTTGATAGCTTCCTCACGGTTATATGAGTTTATTTAGTATTTATAGTAATAGTTATTTTTTAAAATGATATTTTTTAAATATATTAAAATATTATTTTTATTTTTTAAAATTTATTATAAAAAACATAAAAATATAATTTTAAAAAATAAATTCTCTTAAAACATGAAAACAAACAATTTTAATAGTCGCGCGCAGCTCGTATAGGTTGCAGCAAAGTCCATCTGGCAACACTGCAATGCAGTATCTGATACCGATATGTGAATTTTCAGACAATATTGTACCCAATGAAACGCACCCTGTGCACTCTGTATGGCTTCAAAACAGGGATATTAGAAGGAGAATTTTCTGCAGGATAAGGTAGCTAGATGAACAAGGAGGAGTCTTCTTCTTGACAGAATAAGTCCTCCTCCTCCTCCTCCTCCCTTTTTGTGGTACTGTCCCTAAATGGAGGGCAGTCCATTTCCCGAGCTTCTCTTTGCTCATTCCACTCTGACTCTTTTGCCTTAAATTTGATTACGGCAATGGAGATTTAGTGGAAGCATCAACGAAAAGCTTGCGTGGAGCATTCATTTATGTGATGTATTCATAAATTCATGTGGGGATGAAAAAATAAGAACTTTTTCTTTGTTTTTTTACTTTTGGGGGATTTTAATATGCCTTGATCTGGGAATCTTTTCTATTTCTAACCTACATGAACAATGCTTAAAGCTTCATATCATCAAGGGTGTTTGGCTTCGAGAGTAGCAGTAGCGTTAGTGATGTAATCTGGGTGAAGATTTCAAATAACATATATATATATATATATACATGTGTGTGTCCTTGTACTTTTTTAGTAATATACTAGTTACATGACCCGTAATTTGTTGCTAATTGTGTTTTTTTTTATTAGGTTTTTTATATAAAAATATTTCTAATTATAAAAGAAATATTTATATACACATCTAATTAAATAAATTGATATTTAATTAATTTCTAAAAAATAAGATATTTGATAAAAAAAAATTAATGTAGGATGAAAATAAAAAAAAATCACAATAATCAATTTCTAAAAACATAAATGGTTAAAAGTAAATTTTTTAAAAAATAAATTTTTAAAAATAACATGAAAAATATTAAACTCAACTTGTACCAACTTTCAAAATTTGCTGCTGTATTCATGACGTTGAGATTAATTGTATAAAAAATAGATTTAAAAAAATGAATTAAAATTTTTAATATAAAAATAATAAGTAATGAACCAAAAAAAATTCATTTAAAAAAATATTTGAATCAATTAGGGTTAATCTGCTATCTATATAACTTCACAAAACATAAAAAATAAAATTAAAAAAATTAATTTTAAAAATATTAAAAAATAAAATTAAAAATAAACTAGTTTTATATAAAACTTTAAAACAAAATTAAAATCAATCTATATCAATTTTTAAAACTTATAACGGTGATTAGAAAACCCCCACTAACCACATGTTTGAAAAGGAAGCAAAGTCTTCAAAAAAATATATAATAAAAAATGAAATTAAAAATAAATATAATAAAAAAATACTAAAAAACTAAATAGTTATAAGAATAATAAAAATTAGATTTGATGTGAAAATAAATTGAGATCAAATGCAATACAGTGAATTAAAAAAATCATCTAGTAAAAGGGGGAAAAAAGAACGAATGATGAATAGATTTGGTATAAAAATAAATTTAAATTAAATGATTATGGATAAAATAAAATAAAAAATAAAATAAATTAATAAATAAATAAAATAAATGAAAAGACACTATAATATCTCAGTAAAGAAAAATAAAATTATCAGAGCCCAATAATTAACCCGACATAGACACACACTGTATCATCAAATAAATAACATTGACATGCTTCCAATGCTGTTATGAATGGTGTAATTCCACCATCGCTCGCTAGTAAATTTTTTTTAATATTTTATATTTTGGTAAGGATCATATTACCTTTAATGACATGTGAATATATATATATATATATATATAAATAAAACAAGCAAACAAACAAGAGTAAAATACTAAATCACTGTCAGATGCTGCTGCTCGCTACCAGCTAATTTTAAAAAAAATATTTTATAATTTTGGAATGATTAAATTACCCCTAGCACCACAAGAATTTAATAAAAAATAAGAGTAAAAGATCAAAAAGGCCCCAACCACCTAGATTGAAAATTTCAAATCTCGGGGACACACAAGTAATTACACTATGCATTAAATATATATATATATATATATTGAGAAAAACCAAATTGTCCGAGGAGAGTGTAACAAAAAAATCGAGGTTTAAAGACAAAAGGCCCCTAAAACCAAGTTTTAAATTCCTCGATACAGATGGTATTATAGTAAATACATTGTTCATATAAAAACAAAATATCAACAAAATCCCTAGACGTTAGCTTAATCTTTTTGGCTCCAAATCCCGTTTACGTCGTTACATTGTTCAAGAACATTTTAAAAATACTCATCTAATCCCATAATATTTACCGGTGGCAAATGTGTTTATTTGACAGGACAAATATATTTTTACATAACAACTTATTTGAGGATTTTTTATAAGAAAATAGGATTTTATTTTTAATTTTTAATTTTTAATTTTTTAATTATTAAAAAATAATATAAATTATATATTAAAATCTCATCTAAAAATTTAATTTAAAACTTAATTTATTTAATTAAAATAATTCTTTAATATGATATCAGAATCTTGATAACTAAATAATTATAAATTTAAATTTTATTATTTCTATTTATTTGATTAAAATAAAAATACAAGATAATATAGGTACGTATATATCTTAAATTTAAAAAAAATACTTAAAAAAATAAAAAAATAAATAATATAAATTATATATTGAAACCTCACATAAAAATTTAATATATTAGGTTAAAATTAATAATTTAACACTAATAAAAATTTATTATTTTTATATTTATTTTATCTTCCAAAAATAACAAATAGAAGAGAAGTACCTGATTGGTGAAATCTGGATGCGAAAGAGATGACATTTCCGGGGCAAAGAACTGTTAAATCGAGGATCGTCAATCTAATTAAGGTACAATTTAATTATTTTTAATTCTACAAGGGCCAATAAATAACTTGTTTTAAACTACAGATACCACGTAATAATTAAATCCAATAGTTTTTATTTATTTCAATTCTAGAAAATACCATCACTTTTTTATGCATTCAGACAGGTCAGCTTCTGGAGCCTTCCATAGCATCTATTTCCACTCTTTTTCTAGTTGCCACAGCTGCTTGTCCGAAAAGGAGGCTAATTTTGTTTGAAAAGGTGCGAAATTTGTGGATCACTCGCTCTCTCCCTCCCCGTCTCCGACCGGTAGGTGCAGGTGCTGCCCTTGTCTCTTTCTTTCTTCCAAGTTTTATTTTGTTAACTATAATGTAGTAAAGCCCGGGTTTCTGCCTGAATTTTCAGGAATTCTGATTGACCAGTGCCCACTCAGTCCGATCAACAATGACTCATATCCTTTGCTGACGATCAGTTGTGTGCTTCTCTTATCTCTTTATTTGTCTTCATAATAATTGGGATCTCGAATAATTTAAAACTTGTTGTGTCTTGTAAATTATGCCCCCTTTGGTTTTGTGATAATTTTTGTTTGGCTTTAACTGAAGCGAACGCGGTAACCAAAGAGAAAGAGACCGTGAAAGGGCTCAAGCCAGGGCAGCCCATAAAACAAAGAATTCCAAAGATGACGGACTAACACCTGAACAACGCCGCGAAAGGTTTTTGTTTCATATATTTTTCCTTTCCTCTAAACATCTTTTAAGAAATTTGGTTCTTAATTTATGTTTTCTTGATTCGGGTGTGCAGAGACGCGAAGGCTTTACAGGAAAAGGCAGCGAGAAAAGCTGCGCAGGCAGCGGCTGGAGGGAATAATGCTGGAGGTAGAGGAGGTAAAAGCACCAAGAATTGATAGGGAGGCATTGAGATTTGTGTAGTTGGGAATGATTGTACAAGTTCAGGTCTTGGTTTCTGGTTTTCTGTGATGTCTCTGTCATTTGAGATCTAATAAACCATTTGTGTGTTTCCTTGGAGAGCAAGTGATGTCTCTGTCATTTGAGATTTAGTAAACCATTTGTGTGTTTCCTTGGAGAGCATTGATGTTGCCTTCTGAAGAACCTGTGGCTTATATCTGAGTTGGAATGAAATTCCTATGTCCAGTTGCAGCTTTGTGCAATTCTAGTGTTCTCTGCCGTCACCAAACTTTCCAATTGAATTGCTGCAGCATTAGTTTTATGTTCAGATTGGGACAATTATTTTAATTATCTTTTTTTAACCCCTGAACAAAACATGACTTGCAATCAGTTTTCTCTGCATTTTTGAACCAAGGTTTACCCTTCACAAGCTTAATCATGGTGTAAACGTAACTGATAATTTCTATTAGGAGAATTTGTTCTGAGATGAGTTGTCTGACTTTCCGTTAGCTGCTGTCTAATTGATTTATGTATTCCATGCACTGTCAATTAGCGTTTGTCATGGCGTTAACTTAGCTGATACTGCTTTTATACTATTTCGACAGGAGTTTATGGTGTCTCATTTACTACCATAAACTTCAGGACGAGATTGATTGAGGGACTTGATACAGATAGATCATGCTTTGATTTTTAGAACGTGTTTCAAATTAATGCCAAAACATTCAACAAATCGAGGGACATTGATCGGGGGATTTGATACTGATAGATTGTTGAATCTTTTGAAAACCCAATTGAAAAAAAGATAATAAATGATGTAATACTTGAAATTAACGAAGTCACAAAGAAAACAAGACAGGTGGCCACAAAATTTCCCGGAATGGATATCAAGAAGATGAAGTTTCTTAGATTATACTTGGGGGGCATGTTTATAGGGACCCTCGAGGACGGTCTAGAGAGTGCATCCAACTTCTCTCCGTAGCCTCAGTTTACAGAGTCATCTGCTCGACTTCAGTGGCTCAAGAGTTTAGCAAATGAATACCTAACAGTGATGGTGCCTGCTGATTTTCTGCCATGGACGTGCATAAAGAAAATTTATTCAACCATCAATGGTTGTGTGTCTGGAGGGGACCATCAATGAGAGAACCTATTCTCTTATCTATTCTTAGCTCCTAACTTTTTTATTTTTTCTCAAAGCCATAAATAACTTTGCTAAGCTCATTTCACTATTGGTTGGAAGGATCTTACCCGAATCATAACTTGAAATAGCACTGCTTCCAAATCATCCGGACAAGAACTACTACAGCATTTTATTGAGAGCTGAAAAAATTAATTTCTAAAATCCGAAGTAAGAGAAGTGAAATGTAACAGATGGTCTGAACTCTTGAACAAAACCGATGTAATCAAGGAAAGACTTGCTTGATCTTGATTTGCCTGTTCCTGGTTTGCCGCTTGAATGCTCCAATTTAAATGCCCCTTGTAAAATCTCAGAATCAGATTGAAAATAAAAGATCTCATGATTATGCTAATACTTCTCCAATCCGACAGTTTCATTGCTTCCCTTGTTGAAGTTAAAAAATGTCACTGTACAGTTCATAGTCATCAGAGTAATATCTGTGGTATAGGGCTAGAGGGACTCGTAGACAGTTGCTCCTTTGTTAAAGCTTCAATCCTTATAGCTGGCTTCTTTTCCCATATTTTCCTGCCATGTTTCTCTTGTATCCACAACTCTATAAAACTCTCACATTTTTCCTCTGCAGATCTGAGCAAGCTTTCCCTCACATCTGACGAGCATAATATGCTCGTAAGGAACAAGGATTACTATCATGAACCAGATAAAGCGGGGAAATTATGCTACACGTCTTCTCGTTTTCGTGGAATGTGAAGGTCCTTCTTTAGATGTGAGCCGGTGAAGCAAACCACAGGCAGAAACAGAATCTTCATCGGCATATAACAAATTCACTTCCTCCAGTTGCCTCCAAGCCTACGTCTGCGAATCGAAAACCTCGGATCTAGGAATGCTACATTGATAGAAATGACTAGAACTGCGACCATTTGGCTTGGAGAATCTTACTATCTTATAGCGCAAAAGATTTGATCTTATCACAATCATGCTAGCTGCTTTAGTCATACATCGAGTTTTTGGATTTGGAATTTGGTGCCATTGTTCAGTAGCAAGCTTGCAAACAAAATATCAAGGGTTCCCCGATAGGCCTAAAGGCGAAGCAGAATACCTTGGTTTGTTGATGACTCGAGCATTACAGTCACAGGTAAAAGGTTGAGATCAAGCTTGGGATGTGGATGTGAGAACTTGAGCTGTTGGGGGAAAATAGCAAGATACGGGTTTTGGTCTCTGGCCATGGAGATTCATGAAAGTACAGTTTAAGAGCATTAATGGGGCTTTTTTCTTCAAAATAGCAGTCTCCAAATTTATTTAGGAAATTGAACAATTAAATTAAAAAAGAGAGAGTGAGAGAGAGAAATTAACAAGGTCACACCCATCGCACTAGCATCATAAAATTGCGAATAAATTTTATTTTATTTTATTTTTTATAAATAAGTTAACAACTCATTCTTATCCTAATCTCCAATGATTTACTCTGAATATCAATAAACATTTAATCTGAGATATAAGATTTTATCTAAAACTTGATAAAAAGATACTTTTATATGTATATAAAAAAAATTATAAATTTAGTACTAACCCTTCTCCTGGCTACTTTGTAGGCATATAAATCTTTATTTCCTTTTATTTAGTAATATAATAGTAACCAGTTAAATGATACTAAATCTATTATTCACAACAAACGACTTCAGGTCAAAAGTAAGACAAATAAACTCAAAATCGCACAAAAAAAATCAAATTTTCTACAAAACTAAGATGGAGGTCTAGGCTAACCTGGGTTCAATGACTGCTAACTGGGTGGAAACGGAACTGAACAGTCTGTCAAAAACATTAGCTGAGTTTCGCTTCTATTTGGTTCACACATAAGTAAACCCATAATTCATTCGCTTCCACCAGATGACCCAGCTGTAAAAAAGTTTACTGTTTACTGAAAAGGCTAAATCATACAAAAACATAACGATTTCTACTCTGTTCTTTGAGCTACAACTGAGCGGCCATGGTATCAGAGGACAGAGCACAAGCCTCAAGATGATCGTCGATAATAATACCTGCAAAGATATCAGATGACATAAAATTGCTGGAACACACAAAAAACGGCGGGGGGGATACAGGTCTGTGTGAGAGAGGTCATACACGTAGATCTTTATTCCAAAAACAGAAGCATATTTTCGTAGAAGACGTTCAACAGTATACCACTGTGAGCGATCTGTTCCATCTTGATAACCAATACGAGGCATGTGGATTGAGGCTACATGGAAAAGTCAGGAGTTTATGTCAGATAATTCAAATATATATGAAAGAAACAAACAAGAGTAAGAACAAGCTAAGTTCACACAGTCAAAGGCAGTCCCTGAACGTGAACAATCTAAGAATTCTGAAATTTGAATCATTTTTAATGATAACGAAGAAGGTTCTTATGAATAAGAGGACTGCCTCTCTCATCATGTTGATTGTTGCTCACTACTGCTCATGCTCGTCCTGGTTGTGCTTCGCCTATGAAGTTGCTCTATGGACAGATGCATGCCAGCCTGCTAACTATATTTTCACATTGTTGGATGACTACAATAAATTCCAAACAACAAAATCACTTGCATCTCTAAGCATCTACTCTTCATAGCGAGCGAGCAGACCAACTATTTCAATTTTCATTGTTCTTTTTAAAGTTTGCCATTATGATGGAATACAACAGCATCAAAATAAACATTAGAAGAAACATACCTGAATTTTGAGCTGCAGCAAAAGACACCTTGGACAGGCAAGCCTCCAAGTCAGGAATAGAGATCTCACTACGAGGCACTTTGCGCCTGGGATTATAAGATTGTACAACAGCCAAAGCAACCCACCGTGGAGTATCACCTTCCATGTTCTGCCCATCAGTATCCTCTGTGCAACAACAAACAGGTTAAATGAATTTCTTCGGAGAACTATCCATCAATAAGGAGGGGGGGGGGGGGGGGGGGTTACGGGGTTTATCATAGAAACCATTCACATCAGTATGTGAGACAGATCATCAGAACTTTCTGAAAGGAAAACAAGTTACACCAAATAGTGATCTCATTAACCTAGCTAAAGTTTTGCTCATGATCATTCATCGGAACATCAAAGAAAACCAGTCACAGGGAGCTACAAAATTAAATTCGAGTCATTAAGTTCAAGCATGAAGTTATAAAAATAATCCATTTGAAGCAATCTTTTGCACATCAGGAAGAAGCATAGCAAGGAACTTTGAGACCACCAGGGTAACCTATTTGATTAATAACTATACATATGTCATCTCAGCCAGCAGCTAACAGTTCCATGATTAATAAATATTTACTAATCTCAACCACTCCACTCACAGCTACAAGCAAAATTAATTAAATTTAATCACCATAAGCACAGGTTGGATACTGTATTTATAACAGGGAGTGGAGATGGAGATCACTCCCTGGCTAGGCTACTACATTTTCATGTTTGAAATTGCAGATCTAGTCTTCCTTTGTATTTGCTTTTTGCACACTCACTACCTTTTCTTTTCCTTTTTAGTTCTAGAAGGATTGGTCTGCAAGGAACAAAAATATCGGTCACAATTAACATCAACCCCAGTAAGGAACATGAACTGAGGCCTGAAAGTGTGGTGGCAATTGGGATGGCAGTATGAGAACAAAATGAAAATGAAAAAAAAACTATGCATGTTGTAGTGAATATGTTCAGTGATCCTGGAAGGTTAAATTGCCTCTCGTATTTATGCACATCACTTAAAATTTTTGCACCACCATTAATTATTGGAAAAGGCCAAAATGTAAAAATGCAGGAAGAGCGAACAAGAAATCTGACCAATAATTTTTACAAGATGGACATCACCAAGATGAAGGTCCCTAAATTCAGAGGCTCGTTGATATGCAGCAGGGATACTTGAAGACAGTTTGGCCAGTGCATCGAACATTCCTCCATGGCCCCACTGTCCAGACTCATCTACACAACTGCCAAATTAATACCAGAATCAGGCTAAGAGAAAAACTGATGCTTACTAAGCAATATTCACACCCTTGTAACTAGTGCATTCTTTTCCCGTGGAGTAGAGGGATGAGTTCAACTTAGAACATACCAAAACAGGATATTAACAGTTGTGACCATCAATGAGATGATGTCTAACTGCAGACTGAAATTAAATTCCATGGAAATACAAATGACACATTTTCAAATTCCATCTAAGGGAGTGCGAGCTGATTCTTTTTCTTGGATAAGTCCACATAAAAACAACTCTTCCATAGCCAATGTCCCATTTGTAATTGCACCAACTACACGCTGCTTTGAATTGATCAGTTCTAATGTTAAGATTACTATCAAGTAGAAAAGAACGAGCAGAAAGGGATTGGTTTCGTGGTAAAACCTTACTTGTAACTGATAATGATGGGAAAAAATAGATGTTTGTAATTCTTACAGATACCAAATCAGAGTAGGAAACCGAAGAAAGCAATTTCAAGAGTTTCAAAACAAAATTAGAAGTAAGAAACTAACGAAAAGTATCCATTATCATCAATAAGTTGCATGCCACAACAACGAATGAGTAGACTGGAGGGATTTTCTGTATGTCTCCAAGGAATTACCTGAATATGACACTGGGCTCGGACAAGCAGAGCTTATCTGGATGTGTACAATCCCCAACAACAAAATCAACAAAACCTGAGTCTGACAATGCATCCCCATCTACAGGGTAGATGGGATCCCCAACAGATAATGAATGGTATCCAAGGGCCTCCCACTTTGACAACCTTTTCTCCTCTGCCTTTTTCTTTGCAGCCTCAAGATTAAGATACTTATTATCAGGCAAGTTCCTTCTATTTCCCAAATCCAAAACCAGATTTTCATTTGATTGTGATGTTTCCTTGAATTTTTCAACCCATGATAGATATGATGCCTCATCAAGACCAGGATCATAGCTTGCAAGAGCAGATTCTCCTCCACTAACAAAATCAAGTCCTTTTTCTTGACCAATAGGATTGACCTCAAACTTTCTATCATCTTTGTCCAATATCTGGTCACATCGCAGAGCAATTACTTTCTGTGCCAAAGCTTTCAATTCTGAGGCATTTAATTCATTTGATTTTTCATTGTTGACCTCCAAAGGATCAAACCTATGCAACCCAAATATGACAGATCGCAAATCACCATTTTCAATTCCTCCTGTTTCTTTTCTGTCCTCTTCCATGACATCATCTCCTACAACATCATGGCTAAGCTGCAATTTCCTCTTTGCTCTTTGCATAATAACCTACACTCGCACATTTTATATTCAAAATGATAATATGAAAGACATTATTAAACGTTAAAGGTTGAGTTATAAAACCTCACCTCCTCCACAGTATGCCTTGTAACTAAGTTTATTGACAGGACATGGTTCGTTTGACCAATCCTGTGTGCTCGCTGCAAAGCCTGTTTGTCAACCTGAGGATTCCAATCTTGCTCATAGAATATAACCTGTTAATGAATGCAAGTTTAAGAATGTTCAGAACGCCATGTATAACGCCAACCAATTTTTTGAGAAATAATGGAGTCTACTTGGACAACCCATCAAACTCTTTCAAGTTTTCCATGTTACACTTAAAATTCTTTAGATGGAAATAAATATCAGCATATCCAATCCATTCCATTGAAGTTGTTTAAATTAGAAGCAGATGCCACAAGTCTTGTAAAAACCTTCACTTCTTTTATAATCTTATATAGAGCACTGAATTTATTAGCTATTAGAATCATGTAGAACATTAGAAGTCAGTAAGAACCTTTCCAATTAAAGAAGCATCTACATGGCGAACAAAATTTACAGTTCCAACATAAAGCATGAAAGAAATACAGTTATTAACAGAAAATGACAAACAGGAGCTTAAACCGTTACCAAAAGCCAAATCATGTGAGGAAAAGTAAATGGATAAATAAAGAACAAAGTTTCTCCCTTCGCCTCAGAAAATTGCATTTATAAATTTTCCTTGTCAAGGTCGGTATAGAAATGTCTATACATCTTCAAGTCCTGCAAGTTGTATCTGTTTATACTCAGGCAATTGCTTAGAAGTGAGAGAAAGTGAAAAACATGAGCTATTAGCATCAAATTAATTCATCTCAAATATGAGAATGGCTGGCGCACAACTGAATATGTATCATATATAAGTGACATACACATAGCATATTTGTCTCAGAAAACACTGAACCAGCTCTACAGGGAAAAAAGACCACCCACCAAAAACAGAAAACATGTTCTCAAGCAAGAAGAATCAATGAAAAAATCCATCTTTAAACACTGCAGGCAAAGCCCCCTAGTAGATTGCTGATTTGTTTTGGAACTTTATGTGTCACCATTTGTAAGGTTTATTTTCATTTTCCCTTGCCAGCAACTTTTAGCTGATAAAGTGTGTGGTTATTATTGTGATGCCAACTTTTTTCTTTGTTGGGCTTGTCAGAAATTTATTGTACCAAAGTTGGAGCCATTTATGCTTCTTTTTCTCCTTTATTTTTTACAAAATCTTTTTTCTCTCTCTCAACTTGAGGAGCAGGTTAATGAGTTCATATGCCAGATGGTGATTTCTGAAAACTTCAAGAGATAACCCACCGTATCTGCAGCCACGAGATTCAAGCCAACTCCTCCAGCTCTTGTAGATATCATAAAAACAAAAGAGCTATTTTGATCAGATTCAGAACCAGAGCTCCCTGACTGTCCACTAAAACTTCTTATTGCAGCAAAACGCTCCTCAGCTCGAACTGAACCATCAAGACGCTCATATGAATACTTTCGAAGCTCTAGAAAATCCTATATTACATGCCAATTATGTCATTAATAATTGTTCAAAATATACTGACATGCATAAACAAGCAACAAATTCAAACATGTACCTGTAAAATGTCAAGTGTGTGTGTCATTTGAGCAAAGAGAAGCACACGATGTCCAGAATCATGTAGCTTCTCAAGTAGTTGATCCAAAATTATAAGTTTCCCACTGGCCTGAACATGATGTCATAAGATATACAGAGATGACAGCAGATTTCAATTAGTGGAATCAGAGATCAAGATCAGAGGTTTGCACAGGACCCAAAGGAATTAACAAAATCAGAGAGGAAGCAAAAAACTTGCCTCTTTTAGAATAGAAAGTTTAAGCAAGTTTAGGTTTTTTCCCCCCTTTATGCCTCTTCAATTCTTTGTTTTTCAAGCTATATAAATGTGCAACCACTCCAAAATAAGCAATCATTACACATTGCAAAATTATTAGACAGCAAGGATACCTGAAGCTGAAGTCATAAAATCAAGAGGACAGCAGGGACAGCAACAGGTAGGTTTCAAATAGTGAGATCAGAAATGCCGTGCAGAAGGACTGCATCTTTCAAAGCAGAAAATTTAAGCAATTCTTTGTTTGCTTTTAGAGTTATGGGAACAAAGTGAAATCATAGATGCACGACAAGTACTTGCCTCTTTCAGATTTAAACAATTCTTAGTTTTCTTATAGAGTTATGGAAACGTTAGTGAGATCAGAGATATAGCATAAAGGACTGCCTATTTCAGACCAGAAATTTAAGCAATTCTTTGTTTGCTTTTAAAGTTATGGCAAAAAACAAATCATTCAAACCCGGTTTTCATTACTTTTGATATATCAAACAGTTGCAAGATAACAAGACTACATGAAGTTCAAGTTAATTAATACAAAGACATCAGGGGAAAAGGAGTTTTTCATTATCAAAATTGGATATTCAGTATAAAGGTTTGCTTCTTCTATACCAGAAAGTTTACGTGAACACGGTTTTTTTGTTCCTGTTTGTTTCTTTGCTTTCGAAGTTATGGCTACGCACAACTCATTTCAGACTAGCATTTTTAATTTTGGAGATGAAAACAGGTGCTCATTAAAATTTCATATACCACAAAACTAGTAGATGTAGAGGTTACCTTAACTAGGTGTTCACCCTCTTCATATGGCTCAGGCTCAATACCATGAAAGAGGTAAGGGTGGCTGCATGCTTTTCTTAGTTGTATTACCTGGACCAAAGAGACAGAATTAATGGCTGAAACTAACAGAATATTCAAGTCAGAAAAAACATCATTCTATTTCAATTAACTAGAGCAGAAAGGCAGTTTGGCATGGCAAGTTAGCTACAATGAGCAAGTCAAAGAATGAGAAGCTAGTATACCATATTCTGCAGAGATTGATGATTGGAAGCTGAAGAAGACAGTGCAAGAAGTTTTGGAAGCTCCTTCCTCAAAATTGAGGTATAAACTTTCTTTTGCAGGCTGACCAGTGGAGCCATCCTATCAAGACAAATAAAATTTTTAGTCTTTTTAGGAGAGTTCCCATCTTGAAACACCAGATGCTCAGTCTTAATAAGGTAAGACAACTTACACAGTAATCTCAGTCAATGATGGCAGCACTAGGTTTCCACACTCTATAAGCCTAGATTTTGTTCTGCGAAGCATGAAGGATTTCAATATACTTTTTAAAGTCTTGAATTGCCGCTTGACCTTTGTTGCATCATGATCTGTTCAAAAGCAACAGGTTTAACATTCTTGCAAATATGGAAAACCTCAGCTTTTGTTGTATTCAAGAGAATCAACCCAAGATTCACAGCAGAAGCAGACAAAAAGAATTAAATAATAATTTTGAAGCTCATAAACCTTGAAGGAATTGAGAATAACCCAGACGAATGCACATCAATTTTCTGCTTTTTTTTCTGAATCAAAGGCCAATCCCAGGTATAGATTTTAGCTGCAAGGTTTTGCCATAAACTATTGACAGTTCCTTGAAAGAATACGCAACTGTAACTTTCAGAAACACAGAGGAATGATCCCATAACAAGTCCAGATATTATCTCACTTTGTTTCAAAACTCATGACCTCCCTTCTGTAATATTTTAGAAACAATTGGGGGGGGGGGGGGGGGGGCCTAAAAAAAAATATATCGATTTTCAAGATACATTTAATCTAACGGTGAAGCCTTGCACTCTTTAGACAATCATTAATATATTGGTGATACTAGAGATTCATTGAGGGGCCATCAAACCATGTGATCTCCTAAGAAGAATACCAATATCAAGGGGAAAAAATGAGGATATAGAAAATTACAAGAATACAAAGCCTGGTTTCAGGAGAAAGTTGACACTTAAATACACACTTAGACCAAGTAAAAGGATAAATGACCTGATGAAGCATCAGCAGCTTCCCTGAACGTGGAAAGGAACTGATCCAGGGTTCCAAACACCAAAGGCATACAAAAATGCATCAGAGCCCAGAGTTCAGTGAGATTATTCTGGATGGGTGTGCCAGTCATCAACAACCGTCTTGGCATGAGGAACTGGTCTATGAGAACATTATAAAGAACCTGTCCTTATTAAATTTTTTAAACAAAAAAAGAAACTCTTCAAGTCTAGCTCGAGAAGTATAAAAGGAGAGGCACAAAAGCAATTTATAATATAAATATATTTTTTTGTTATTGCACCATGGTAGCATAAATAGCTTGAAACCATAACCAATATAGGAATTTATGTTCACATTTACGAGAAGACACTGTGTGATAGCTTGAACATACGCTCTTTGGATTTTTAAGTCTCTGAGCTTCATCAACTATAGCGTAGTGCCATGGAATCTGTGACAAAAAATCTTGATCCAGTAATGCAATGTCATATGTTGTCAGTAGCACATCAAAAGGCAACAATGATACCTGTAAACAGCCAACATATCTATTTAGATTTTAAAGAACCTCAAACTAGAACCCAGACACATGAAAAAATTTAAGGAACAGGATATACTAACAAATTATATCATTCCAGTTAGTAAATATGCATTACAAGATTCCAAACTCACATCGGATGATGAAGGAATCTCTTTCACATGTTCATGTATTGTCTTGCGCAAAGTGCGCCGGTGTTCTTTCTCACCGACATACCTAAGGACTTTCAGTTTGGGGGTGAATTTGGCTATCTCTGACACCCATCCATCTGTCACACTTAAAGGGCACAACACCACTGCATATAATTGGATAACAAGCAAAATTGTGAATCAAAGTCATTACCAGAATAGATACCCTAAAGTCTTCGAAGTCAAACAAAAGACTTTCTTAACTCACAATATGGTCCAGGTGACTTCTGATGAACTTTCAAATAACTTAAGAAAGAGATGGCTTGCAAGGTCTTCCCTAATCCCATCTGCCAGCAAATATCTTTGATTTCAAAACATAATGAACAGAATCACACTGCCATTGCTATTATCACACTCATCTGTTCTACTTGACTAGATAATGAGGCACGGGAAGATTACTAAAAGTAACGAGAAAAATAAGGACTTCTTTAACCATTGTGTCAGTGATGAGAACGACAAAACTCCATCAGGGTTTCAGCTGTAAATTTAATTACTTCACAAACCCGACAAGATTTTACATTATGTTAGGAGTAAATTCAGTTATAAGAGATGCAACAATCAATTATCCAATACCAAGCCAGTTGCAAAATTCTAAGAGTAAATAATACAGCCCCCCTAAGACCTGGCACTAGTAAACTTTCGAAAAATTCAAAAAAAAAAAGGACATTGAATAACTACAGGGAGATTTATCTGAAGCTTTAATTGACAATTGAAAGCTAGATTTTTTACTTGAAAATTTTTGAGTTTCGCAGGTCTGTGCGATTACCTAAAGGGCCAGGCCATACTCAAATGACAAAAATAATGATGGTCACAAATAATCTCTATATTACTTGATTTTCACACGTTTAAAAGTAAATATCAGGCATCAAGATAAATTTAAGACAATTTCAGGTTTCCTTCAATATAAAGGCTTGAAACCATTCAAGTCCTCAAGCTATGTACCTCATCTCCTGCAAATACAATACCAATTCAAGAGTCACTCTAATGCGCGTTAAAAATAAAACAGCATATAATTAAAGTGAAACCCTAGACTCCTTTTCAAATTCACAAAATTGAATATATCAAATCAGACACCAAGCAATACTGGAAAACCCTGATTTCTTGTATTCTTGAGATTTTCAGTTAGATTTTATCAGATTAAAAAATAGAAGTGAAAAAATAAAATCCTACCGAGGATAACATTAACACCGAGGTGATATCTCTGTATAAGCCACGAGATGCCTTCAAGTTGGTGAGGTTTTAGCGTCGCCGTGACGCCGATTTCTGTGGCGTCAAAAGGCGAAGTTGCATAACCGCTTTCTCCGTGTGATTTCGATTCGATGATCATTGTGGCTGCCGCGAGCCTCTGCTCATAATTCATCCCTCTCGGTCTCTTCGAGGGTAGCCGTTGCTTATCGAAGACTGGCTTGAAGGGGACGCGAGGGAAATAAAAAAAAAAGGGCGGTTAGGTTACGTAATGACGGTTCTAGCCTTGTGAGTAAGCATCAGTTCGTGGGGTTATTCTTGGGATTTTGCGCGGCGTGTATATGGATCGGGAGTCTGCGTGCGTGTCAAGCTAAAGCCAAATATTGACTGTTGAGGAAACTTCTACGTTTGTTTAGTCTTTTCTCTAGTATGTGAAATTTTTGTTCGAAGGATAATGAAATATGACAGTTGTCAGGTTTTGATTTGAAGATTGACTGGGAAATTTTTGGATTATTTGATTATTAAGTTTATTTTGATCAGTTATTTTTATTAGAAAATGATGTTTTTTTAAAATATTATAAGTCTGTTTGATAAAGAAGATAGTTTTCATGTTATGGGAAAAACACATAAATAATACGTTGCTAGTTTTTTTTTTAATAAAAAGGGCTGCATCAATTGATAAATGAGGTCTAATCTTGTTTAATAAGACAATAAAATTAAGAATTTAATGTTGCTTTATTGTATGTATTAATAATCGCATGTGTATAGTAGTATAGTTTGTATCATTTAAATTACTGCAATTTTTTAATAATTTTATTATAAACCACACTTCTAACAATAATTTCAACTAACCACGTAATTTGTCAAACGGTAATTAAAAATGATTCTCTTAAATTTATTTTTATTAAATTATAATTGTAAAAATTAATATAATATCAAACACGCACTAGAATTTACTGAAAAATTAATCAAAATTAATCTAAATTAATATTTTATTCAATTCAATTAGAAAACTCTAATCAAATATTACTTACATGAATTTACTAAAAAATTAATCAAGATTAATCTAAATTAATTTTTTATTCAAATTCAATTAGAAAACTCTAATCAAATATTTTCATCCTAGAATTTAAAAAATCAGGAAATATTAATAACTATGCAAAATATAAAGAATTCACAGTGTAATGATCGGTAACAGCAATTTATCAAAACCAACCGATCGAGTTCATATTTATTTTTCAAATCAGCTTTTCCAAATGATTGGAAAAGAATTTGCTCTCTGTCATGATCCATCCCATTTTTATTGAGTAAAATTTGAGTCGAATTTACCTGGTACATGTAAATAATAAAATAGATCATTTTCAGCAAGGTTAATGAACCTTATTTTAATTGATCAATTTTGGTTTTTATTTTTTCATCATTTAATTAATTAAATTTTTTTATTTATTAGATTTTTTTTAATCTACCATGATAAAATACAAGTAACCGGAAGAGGTGGATAATGTAAGAAACTTCACTTATCTTCGAATTATTTTGGTGAATTTCTAGTACAATTTTTTGGATCGACGGCATGTCCATTACTTGTACCAGCACAACAAACATCAATCAAAATCAGTAATTTTCACTGGTACTATCTTTTCATTTGATTCCATGTGATAAAAAAAAAATTATAATAATGAAATATTTATTGATGGTATTTTTAATTTTTATATTTTTTTAAAAAAATTAAAAAAATTTATTTTTTATTTTAAAATAATTTTTTTTAGTATTTTCATATTATTTTAATGTGTTAATATAAAAAATAATATTTAAAAAATAATATTTTAATATATTTTTAATTAAAAAATATTTTAAAAAACAACTATAATTATACCCTTAAATATCATTCAGGTTTAGAATTTGGGGTTTAATGTACTTTAAAAAATATTTTTTAAATATTTTTAAAATATGTTTTATATATTATTGTTAAAAATAAAATTTTAAAATAATAATAAAAATATTATTTAAAATATTTTAAGAAGTAATTTATCATTATTATTACCAATAATGTACTTAATTTCTTAAAGGGGAGGAAGATTACAGGATAAAGCAAGGTCACGTTGCCGATAATCCCATGAAAATGAAATTATTTTAAAAACAAATAGAGCACGATGCAAAACAAAAATCCCCAAATTAAAAAGTGATAGGCAGACAGGGCCACACAATTCAGCAAGAAAAAAAATAAACAAGTAAAAACCACCATAAAACTGGAGATTCCTTCTCTCCATTCTCGCTGAAGATTAGTTGACAACATTAATTTTGAGTTACTTCTCACAATTAATGTCATCCGGGCCATGCTCCCATGTTCAATTCGTTCACTTACAATAAATTTAATGAGACTGTAAAATTAAGATTTTATTGTATTTATGATGTATTACTAATTGCATGTACACACACGCATACACTCTAATTTGTAACATTTAAATTACTATATATATTTTTAATCATTTTATTATAAACAATACTGTTTTAATTAAATATATAATTTATTTCATTAAATAATAATTAAAAATGAAATTTTATTTTTTATTTTTTAAAATTTTTAATCGTAAAAGTTAATATAGTGCCAAACACGCACTAACTGTTATGTTTTAATTAGAACAATCATATAAAAAAAACTAGTTAAGGTTAATTAAGTTTTATTGGATTAATATTTTATCCAATTCATTAACATGGATCAAACTTTCTCATCCTGGATTTTTCAAATCAACCTGTCATCCAGGCTCCAAAAAGATATAGAATTCAAAGTATAATAATCGGTAACAGCAATTTATCAAGACCAGCCGAGTTCGTATTTATTTTTCAAATCGGCTATTTTATTAACTTTAAGTTATTTCATGCTTTTCCAAATGATTGGAAAAGGATTTGCTATCTGTCATAATTTATCCCATTTTTAATGGAATAAAATTCGAGTCGAATTTACTTGGTACACGTGAATAATAAAATAGATAATTTACAGCACGGTTAATGAAACTTATTTTAATTGATTTTTATTTTTATATTTATTTTGTTAATTTTTATTTTTTTCAATTAATTTTTTTTATTTATCAAATCTATTCCTTATTATTTATTTTAAATAATTAAAAAAATAATTTTTTTAAATTTTTTTATTTATCAAATTTGATCTATTTATTTATTATTTATTTTATTTAAAATAATCTATAAAATTATATTTTTTTTAATTTCATCTTTCTTTATCTTGTTTATCTATCATATCCAGTCAACATTCTTTTAATAAACTTAACAAAAAAATTAAAAAATTATTTTTTCAGTTTATTTTCTAAAATATAACAAAACATTTAAAAATATCTTTCAATTTATTTTTTATGACATTATCAAATATTAAAAAATAATTTAATTTTTATAAATTCACTTTTTATTATAAAATAATTTTTTAAAAAAATATTTTTTAACCAGTTTAAAACTAAGAATTACAAATTACTCTTTTTATGATCATTTGCTAGTATACATGTCTATATGTACTAGTTACAGCATAGGTGTATTATAAAAATTATGGTATTGAGATTATATAATTTTAATTATTTATTAGTAATTTTATTTGTTAGTATTAAACTTCTAATATAGTAGTTTCTTGTTGATTTTTTAATACATATTTTTTGCAAGGTAAACATAAATCATTTACTATTCATCATCCAACATTTTCATCTCATACTAGAGCGAGAGCTTGAATTAAAACATATCTTAAAAAGATAAAAATGAAAAAATCTAATCCCTTTAAATCTCTAAAAAAACAGAGGAATTATATCCAAGAGTCATCAAGTTCAGATGGGCAATCCTTTCGAGAAAATGGAGGGGTACCAAACTTTCTGAAAGGAGTGGACCAGTAAAAAGCCTAATTTTCCTACCATTCGCATCCAGAGCAGGAAACATTCCGAGCCGAGAATCGACTGGTGTCTCGCCAATAAAAAAGTACAGTATTTCTAGCTTCAGAAACATGGTCGAATAATATTCAAATCAAAGTCTGCTCACTCGGAAGCCCATGCACATATATATTCTGAATGTTTTTAAATCGGTAGTGTCGAACAAGGGCTCAAGTTGAAGATGTGCTCATTAGATTCCACAATAGCTGGCCAAAGCAGAGGATGCGCCCCTTCTTGTCATTGTACGTACAATATCATGCCAACAACACCAGAGAGTATCAAACTCCTCATCATTGTCTTTGTTAGTGCCTTGATTGAATATTCTTCTCAGCACAAATGAGCTCGACCCTCTAGAAAATTACTATAGTTGCCATTATCGTAGAATCATTGAACTCCCTCACCGACCCTTTTAGGATCTGATCTATTGGCATACTCGACCGGCAATGACTTGGGGATCATCCTCGACATCAATTAATCAACAACCTTAAGCTTCAACGGTTCTGAAATAAATTATTATAATATGTACTAGAAAGAAAATGTGTTTTCAATTGTAAATAGTATAATTGTTGTCAAACTTTTACTGTAGTGGTGGCTAAATTATAATTTTTGTTTTTTCAAATATTTTTTATTTATTTACACTGGTATTTTATCATTTTATACCTTTGTTGGTGTTTACAATCACTTTTATTTGAAAAAAAATAATATTATTTAGTAGTAAGAGATTGGTTTTGGTTGTTTTTATTTAATCAATTTTAATAATTTTTTTAATCCATTATCAATTATATCTCTATATAAATTTAAATTTCTACATATTTACTGAAAATTACAATTCAACAATAAAATTAACAAAACAAAAATAAACTTATAAATAAATTATTATTTATTTTATCACAAAACATAGAGTAACAAATTTAATATAAGTTTCATCAATTTACAAACAAATGTAATTTAATAAAATCTAAAACAAATCATAACATATACAAATCATAAATTCATATAACAAAATTATATAAGAAAAAAACTATAAAATAAATAAATACACAAACCAAAAAAATATACCAGAAAACTTAAAAATTATGCTCAAATAAAAAAAATATAAATTTGTATCTAAAAAGACGCCCCCCCAAAAAAAAAAACAAGTTCTTTTAAATAAACATTTTTTAATTTTTTTTACCAGGGATTGAAAAGGAAAAATGATAGAATAAATAAAACGTTGAAAAAGGTGATATTTTCATTAGTTATTTAGTAGAAAGAGAAAAAATCTAGACTCGTAAAAACTAAATGAAATATTGGTTTAAAATTGTGGGGTAGAAGTGGAAAAGACAAGATAAAAAAATATAATCATATTTTCCAGCACAGCTTAGTGGCTATGATCAATAATAACTTGCTGCCATAGCCAAGCACTTCGGAATTCCAAGCACCACAGAGCAACTTGGAGCCTATGACCCATGAGTTTATTAATTTTTATTTCCCCTGTTAGACCCTCCAAGCTCATCAAAGCAGAGCATGGGAAACTAAAAAAGTGGAGGATAACATGAAGGGGTAAAAATCTCTTGCCATCACGCCATTTATATATAGATAGATGCTCTTAGCACAAGTTAAAAGAACAGACGAGAAAATTATATAAACGAGACAATGTGTCTGCCATTCAATGTCCAAATTTCTTAATGGCCTCCACCATGGCCCCACCAGCAAACCTGACTCCCCATTAACATATTGGAAGATCTACCTTAAACCATGCAGCAACATGTTAATGGTGGAGGAGAAGCTGTGCTCATCAGATTCCACAATAGACGGCTGAATTCTAAAGCAGAGGATGCGCCTCTTGTTGTTGTTGTCTGGGTAGTATCATGCTCACAACACCAGAGAGTATCAAACTCCTCATCATTCTCTTTGTTAGTGTCTTAATTGAATATTCTTCCCAGCACAAATAAGCTCAAACCACTAGAAAATTACTATAGTTACCATTATTGTAGAATCATTGACTTTCTTCGCCGATCCTTTTAGAATCTAATCTATTGGCATACTTAGCCAACAATGACTTGGGGATCATCCTCAACGCCAATTAATCAGCAACTTTAAGTTTAACATACATACTCGAAAGAAAATGTGTTTTCAATTGTAAATAGTATAATTGTTGTCAAACATTTTTAATATAGTGGTAGCTAAATTATAAATTTTGTATTTTTTTATTTACACTAGTATTTTTTTATTTTACTAGTATTTTATTATTTTACGCTTGTCGGGATTTACCATCACTCTAACATTGTCCATAATTTTTTGGTGTATACTAAAAGAATGTTTCTATTGATATATTTATGGATACATTTTAATGTCAAGTTAATTCTATCATTAGAAGTTACATATCATTCTATTTTTTATTTTATTTTTTTATTATTATAACTCTCTATATATATCAATATAATATTTTTATTAATGAGTACTAATAGATATAATGATGAAAAATTTTATTGATAAAATTCACTGTAATTTATCAATTTAAAATTTTCATTAATATTTCAATTTATATATTTAAAATTTCTAGTAATAAATTAAAAACCAACTACATCAATGCTATTACATCAATTAAATTTAAATTAGACAAATTAGATTTTATGTGAGACATTATGCTTGGTTAAATTTAAGTCAACAAGGTACAAGTCTAATCAACTTAGAATTACTGATGCTACAAATCATATCAATATGGTACAAACTATGTTAATTAGGTTAAATCAATTATGTAAAAGGTTGTTATCAGCATTGAATATCTAACCCTGCGTTAAAGTAGGAATTAATTGATTTTAAATCAATCAAGTATAAGTTAACTAAGCTAGTAACCAGTTACATCAACTAGATATAGATTAAACCAACTAGGTTTTATATGAGAAATTAGGGCTTGACTAAATTTAAATCAATAAGTATAAGTTAAAATTATTAAGAATCATTGATGATACAAATTGCATTAACTAGATACAAACTATATCAATTAGGGTTTATATGAATTATACAAACCGTGGTTATGCTTCATTCTTGCTTCAATTATACAAAACGTGGTTAGACTTTGTTCTTGCTCCTATCCATTTATCAACATTGAACTTCTAACCCTGTAGTTTAAATCCCCCCAGACCATCCTAGTTTCTATGTATATATATATATGTCTCAAATTTATCTCAAAGTATTATACAGGTACTTGTCAAAAATAATTTTTATTTAAAAATATATTTTTATTTTTATTTTTAATATCAACACATCAAAATTATAAAAACACATTAATTTAATATTTTTTTAAGATAAATACACTTGTAAAAGGCATCTAAAAAAACCCCCCAAGTTCTTTTAAATAACCATTTTTTGGTTTTTTAATTTATAATTTTTTTTTACCAGATATTAGAACATTTACAGGGATTGAAGAAGAAAAATGATAGAATAAAATAAAAAGTTGATATTTCCATTAGTTATCTAGTAGTGAGATAAAAAAAAAATGAAATACTGGTTTAAAATTGTGGGGGTAGAAGTGGAAGAGACAAAATAAGAAAATATAATCATAGCTACGATCAATAATAAACTTGCTGTCATAGCCAAGCACTTCGGAATTCCAAGCACCACAGAGCAACTTGGAGCCAATGGCCCATGAGTTTATTAATTTTTATTTCCCCTGTTAGACCCTCCAAGCTCATCAAAGCAGAGCATGGGAAACTAAAAAAGTGGAGGATAACATGAAGGGGTAAAAATCTCTTGCCATCACGCCATTTATATATAGATAGATGCTCTTAGCACAAGTTAAAAGAACAGACAAAAAAATTATATAAACGAGACAATGTGTCTGCCATTCAATGTCCAAATTTCTTAATGTCCTCCATCATGGCCCCACCAGCAAACCTGACCCCCCATTAACATATTGGAAGATCGACCTTAAACCAAGTAGCAACATGACTGGGAAATCCTATATATATTCGAACCCCGCGACACCTTAATCATCACACCCCTTCAAGGAAAAAAAAGCGTATCTTACATACTCGCTTTCAAAAATCCTTGGCTTAAAAAACAATGCAAGCAAGACCATACCATATAGTTTCCACGAGTTTTTCTTCACCAAGTAAATTCCTTCGATTTCATCGGACTCCATCGCCGGCTAGGATTAAAATACCCAGAGTCATATCCATTTCCATCCCGGATACCACTGACCATGCCTCAAGCAGTGTATCCCTGGACATTATAGATGACCCCGTGGCTGCCTTTTGGGACTACCAATTCTTATTCATGTCACAAAGGTCAGAGACAACCGAGGCAGTAACACTTCGAGTCGTTGATGGAGCAGTCCCATCTGATTTCCCATCTGGCACGTATTATCTAACCGGTCCAGGGCTATTTACAGATGATCATGGTTCCACGGTGCACCCTTTGGATGGCCATGGATACCTCAGAGCATTTAGTATTGATGGAGTCGACAAAGAGGTCAAGTTCATGGCTAGGTATGTAAGAACAGAGGCTCAAGTCGAGGAACACGATCCAGAGACTAACACGTGGCGGTTTACACATCGTGGTCCGTTTTCTGTGTTAAAAGGAGGCAAGAGACTTGGTAATACCAAGGTGATGAAGAATGTGGCAAATACCAGTGTGTTGAGGTGGGGTGGTAAGCTATTGTGTTTGTGGGAAGGTGGGGATCCTTATGAGATTGAACTAGGGACGTTGGATACTACTGGAAGATTTGATATGATCAACGGACGTGATTCATCGATGGATAATAGAAGTAATGATCGTGATACAAGGGATATAGCAGCTGGATTATTAAAGCCAATCTTACACGGTAAGTGTTTCTGCTCTTGGCAAGTTGATTAATATTTAATTATGATCAAAGAAAATAATTATCATTTATATACTAAATTAGAAGGTGTTTCCATCAATATTATTCTTTTATGTAAAAGGAGTAAGATGATCATTTTCATCACCAAAAAAGAAAATCACTCGAAAAGAAAATCCCGATCATTTTCATCACAAAAAAAGAAAAAAGAAAATCACTCGAAAAGAAAATCCTAATTAACATTTGTTTTTGTCTACTGATGCATAGTAAATAATAAAAAAAGAATTTTATTTCTAATCTCATGCCATTTTTTTTTTATAGAAGGTGCAAGCATATAATTAACACTCTACATAGTTTTTAATTTTATTTTAACCACTAGTTTACTTGATTTGGTGAGATAGTCTTAATTCCACTTGACAAAATAGCTTCCAAAATCTTTAGGTAAAAAATGGTGCGAACCTTTTAAACTCAAATTGAGCTAAATGGTTAAAAATCGTATTAATCTCTATATTTCAACACTCAGTTCCTCTTTTGTTTTTAGTTACCAAGAATATGTTGATTTAACGCTTCGGATATAATTGAAAAGGTAATAGATCTGTTAATAAATTAATTATTAAACTTGGTAAAATATTTTTCTTTTAAAAATTAATTTAATATTTTTAAAAATAAAACATACTTTTAATAACTGAAAATAAAAATTATCATGCTCTGAGATGCATCCACTTGGAGACCTGACAGAGAAATCATCTTCTTATAATAAATTGAAAATCATTTATAAGAAATCTAGAAGACAGCTTGGTACAGTATGGACACATTGTCGAACATCCTCGTAAATATATTCTCTGATTCTTAAATTCCAAAGGCATGCGACAAATCCTTGCCGAACGAGTCACAGTTACCAATGCCTCGGACGTTCCAAGAAACCATGAATACACAGAAAATGTCTCTGTCTATTCTTGCGTAGTATGTCAGTTTTCGTTCCAGATTCAGTCTTTGATATATGTTTAAAGATTTAATTAATTCTTATATTTTATATTATTTCCTAATTATTATATATATTTTCATTTAACTTAATAAAAACGAGAATAGACGGCTAAACTCTAAAGCAGAGGATGCGCCCCTTCTTGTCGTTGTCTGGGCAGTATCATGCCAACAACACCAGAGAGTATCAAACTCCTCATCATTGTCTTTGTTAGTGCCTCAATCGAATATTCTTCCTAGCACAAATTAGCTCAAACCGCTAGGAAATTACTATAGTTGCCATTATCGTAGAATCATTGACCTCCCTCGCCGACCCTTTCAGGATCTAATCTACTGGCATACTCAACCGACAATGACTTGTGGATCATCCTCAACGTCAATTAATCAGCAACTTTAAACTTTGGCAACTGCATGACTTACTCTAAAAAATCCTATATATATATTCGAATCCCATGACAGCTTATCACACACCTCCAAGAAAAAGAGAGAGAGAGGTATCTCACTCGCTCCCCAGAAACCTTAGCTCAAAGAAATAACAATGCAAGCAAGACCATGCCATATAGTTCCCATGAATTTCCCTTTACCGAGTAAACTCCCTCGATTTCATCGGACCCCATCGCCCGCTAAGATCAATATACCTAGAATTATATCCATTTTCACCCCGGATACCACCGATCATGTTTCAAGCCGTACATCCCTTGACACGATAGTTGATCCCGTAGCTGCCTTTTGGGACTACCAACGCTTCGAGTCATCAATGGAGTAGTCCCGTGTCACAAAGATCAGAGACAATCAAGGCAGTAACGCTTCGAGTCATCAATGGAGTAGTCCCATCTCATTTTCCATTCGGGACGTGTTATCTAACCGGCCCAGGGCTATTTACAGATGATCATTGTTCCACGGTGCACCCTTTGGGTGGTCATGTATACTTTAGGGCATTTAGTATTGGTGGAGTCAACAGAAAGGTCAAGATGATAGCTAGGTACGTAAAAAAAGAGGCTCAAGTTGAGGAACATGATCCAGAGACTAACACGTGGCGGTTTACACATCGTGGCTCGTTTTCTGTGTTAAAAGGAGGCAAGATACTTGGTAATACCAAGGTGATGAAAAATGTAGCAAATACTAGTGTATTGAGGTGGGGTGGTAAGTTACTGTGTTCGTGAAAAGGTGAGGATCCTTATGAAATTGAACTAGGAAAGTTGGATACTACTGGGAGGTTTGATATGAACAACGAATATGATTCATCGATGGATAATAGAAATAACGATGGTGATACATGGGATGTAACTGCTGGATTTTCGAAGCCAATCTTTATGGTATGTGTTTTTGCTCTCGACGAGTTGATTAATCTTCATTTATACACTAAAGTAGAAGGTGTTTCCATCTTTATGTAAAAGGAGTAAAGTAATCATTTTCATCACAAAAAAAAAGAAAAAGAAAATCACTCGAAAAGAAAATCCTAATTAACATTTGTTTTTGTTTAATGATTCATAGTAAAATAATAATAAAAAATTATTTCTAAACACATGCATTTTTGCATTTTTTTTTTATAAAAGTTGGAAACATTTAATTAACACTCTACATAGTTTTTAATTTTATTTTACTCACTAGCTTACTTGATTTGGTGAAATATATAGTCTTAATTCCACTTGACAAAATAGCTTCTAAAATCATTAGGCAAAAAATGGTGCGAACCTTTTGAGCTCAAATTGAGCTAAATGGTTAAAAATCGAAATATGGTTAAAAATCCTTGAATTTTTAAGGAACTAAAAAGGAGTCCCTTTGATTGAAAACGCCCCGTATTAATCTCTACATTTCAATATTTAGTTCCTCTTTTGTTTAGTTACCAAGAATATGTTGATCTAACGCTTCGGATATAATTGAAAAAGTAATAGATCTGTCAATAAATTAATTATTAAACTGGGTAAAATATTTTTAAAAAGAACAATTTAATATTTTTTAAAATAAAACACACTTTTAAAACATAACTGAAAATAAAAATTACCATGCTATTAAATACCCACTAAAAATATAGTAACTAATTTATTATTATTTTTTAAAAAAGCACATGAATTAAATTATAGTTTATTTAATAATTCTCAACTCAACAGACCTTCTGAGATGCATCCACTTAGAGACCTGACAGAGAAATCATCTTCTTATAATAAATTGAAAATCATTTATAGGAAATCTAGAAGACAGATGGGTTGTTGGATTTTATGATTAATAATTAAGACTTAAGAGAGTGTTTTAAACGAATTCTAATTTTATTTCTAGATATTTTTAAAAGATATTTTTTAAAATAATTTTAATTTATTAATGTTAAAAATAGAAAAAAATAAGAAATGTTTTTTTTTTAAACACCGTATAACACACTGTCAAACATCCTCGTAAATATATTCTCAGATTCTTAAATTCCAAAGGCATGCAACAAATCCTTGCCGAACGAGTCACAATTACCAATGCCTCGGACGTTCCAAAAAACCATGAATACACGGAAAATGACTCTGTCTATTCTTGTGTAGTGGGTCAGTTTTCGTTTTAGATTCAGTCTTTGATAGATGTTTAAAGATTTAATTAATTCTTATATTTTATATTATTCCCTAATTATAATATATATTTTCATGCCACTTAATAAAAATGAGAAAACTACAATTTGAGCGTTCAGTTTTTAGAATAAAGAGACAAGAAATTAACCGACAGCATGTAGTTTATTCTCATTAATATTCAGGGTGGTATAGGATATAGGAAGATTCGGGGTGAGCATTTACTGAATTATGAATATTTTTTTTTAAAGTTTACATGAACTAAGGATATATTAGGGTGGCTAAAGATGACTACATCAAATTAAATTTTTTCTACTAGTACGGATTTTGTTGATAGATTAAAGGAAATTGCAGAGGTTTATATATTAATGTTTGTGTTTTTGCTGACTATAGGAGTGTTTTTCTCTTCTTCTGAAAAATTACTTGCACAGGAGTGTTTAAAATGCCACCAAAGAGATTGTTGTCCCATTATAAACTCGATGCTAAAAGGAACAGACTGATTACTGCTTCATGCAATGCCGAGGACATGCTACTGCCCCGCAGTAATTTTACTTTTTATGGTAAATAATGTTGAGAATGGCAGTAATTTTATGCTGAAATTTTATGGAATTGATTAAGCTAAATTAATTGCATGAATTTAATATACTTTATATTATTAAAATAACAAGCTAAATTATTAAATAATAAATAACTATTCCAATCAAATAGTTTAAATTTTTAAGTTGGGTTTCAAAATATGATTTATATTATTATTTAACACATCGTTTTTTGAATTTAAATTTACACAAGTTCACACTAACTTATGTTTAATTTTTTATTACATAAATAAGAATAATGAAATTTAAACTCATGATCACTTAATTATTACATAAATAAAAATAATAAGATTTATATTCATGATGAGATTCAAATTCATGATCATTTATAATTTTTTTACTATATAAATAAAAATTATAGAGATTCAATCTTATAGCCATTTAATTATTAAGACTTTAATATCATATAAAAAAATCAATTCAACTCAAAAGCTCAATACCTGATTGCTCCTGCCAATAGTCATATGTTTGTTTCAAAAATTAAACAATACATGAGTAAGCATGAGCTAATTCAAACTATGAAACTACAAATGACTCATTAAATCATTTATAGTTTATCAAATGACTCATTAAATCATTTATAGTTTTTTTAATGATATTTGCTATAATTCTAGTAATTCTAGAGCTAATATATGCAATAAACCCTGACTTTTAAAAGAGATATATTTATTAGAAAAAAGATTGACATGGGTTCTCTCCGTTACTCTAATACATGTTAAAGAATCCTTTTAACTTAATATTTTAAGTTTTTAAATAAAATTTAAAGTATAATTTATATTATTTTCTAACATTAAACATATTATATGTTTAATAAAATGTAATAAAATGCTGTAAAGCTACCTGCACCTCTTGAAAGGAATTTCTATACACTGCACAAAATAATGTCTTGAGAACCTAATTGACGGTGTAAAAATAAATAAAAATTTAAGATAAAGTAGCCGATAGCAGACAAGTGGGCAGTCCTCTAAAAATTAATGACACCAGGGCCCAATTATAAAACATGATATTGAGCCCATCAAAGAAAAATAAACCTACACAGGCTAGAAGCCCGTTCACTATAATTATTCAAAGTTAAAAAAGCCCACAACTATAAATGCCGCAGTGCATTGGCCAGAATGGCAGTACTCCTCCCTCCATTTCTCCTTCCTTCCCCTAACTCACCAAAAACCCTCCGATTTCAAAACTGAAAACCCTAGACAATTAATTTCATAGAGACAGAAAGAGAGAGCCTCAACAATGTCAGGCTTCCCCTTCTCCTCTTCCTCTTCACAATCCTCTCCTTTCTCCCTTTCCACCGGATTCTCATTCGGATCTTCCTCCGCTCCCTCCACCACCACCACACCCCCTCCCTTCGGCTCCAACACCTCCTCCGCCCCTGCCACCGGATTCTCATTCGGATCTTCCTCCGCTCCCTCCACCACCACCACACCCCCTCCCTTCGGCTCCAACACCTCCTCCGCCCCTGCCACCGGATTCTCATTCGGATCTTCCTCCGCTCCCTCCACCACCACCACACCCCCTCCCTTCGGCTCCAACACCTCCTCCGCCCCTGCCACCGGATTCTCATTCGGATCTTCCTCCGCTCCCTCCACCACCACCACACCCCCTCCCTTCGGCTCCAACACCTCCTCCGCCCCTGCCACCGGATTCTCATTCGGATCTTCCTCCGCTCCCTCCACCACCACCACACCCCCTCCCTTCGGCTCCAACACCTCCTCCGCCCCTGCCACCGGATTCTCATTCGGATCTTCCTCCGCTCCCTCCACCACCACCACACCCCCTCCCTTCGGCTCCAACACCTCCTCCGCCCCTGCCACCGGATTCTCATTCGGATCTTCCTCCGCTCCCTCCACCACCACCACACCCCCTCCCTTCGGCTCCAACACCTCCTCCGCCCCTGCCACCGGATTCTCATTCGGATCTTCCTCCGCTCCCTCCACCACCACCACACCCCCTCCCTTCGGCTCCAACACCTCCTCCGCCCCTGCCACCGGATTCTCATTCGGATCTTCCTCCGCTCCCTCCACCACCACCACACCCCCTCCCTTCGGCTCCAACACCTCCTCCGCCCCTGCCACCGGATTCTCATTCGGATCTTCCTCCGCTCCCTCCACCACCACCACACCCCCTCCCTTCGGCTCCAACACCTCCTCCGCCCCTGCCACCGGATTCTCATTCGGATCTTCCTCCGCTCCCTCCACCACCACCACACCCCCTCCCTTCGGCTCCAACACCTCCTCCGCCCCTGCCACCGGATTCTCATTCGGATCTTCCTCCGCTCCCTCCACCACCACCACACCCCCTCCCTTCGGCTCCAACACCTCCTCCGCCCCTGCCACCGGATTCTCATTCGGATCTTCCTCCGCTCCCTCCACCACCACCACACCCCCTCCCTTCGGCTCCAACACCTCCTCCGCCCCTGCCACCGGATTCTCATTCGGATCTTCCTCCGCTCCCTCCACCACCACCACACCCCCTCCCTTCGGCTCCAACACCTCCTCCGCCCCTGCCACCGGATTCTCATTCGGATCTTCCTCCGCTCCCTCCACCACCACCACACCCCCTCCCTTCGGCTCCAACACCTCCTCCGCCCCTGCCACCGGATTCTCATTCGGATCTTCCTCCGCTCCCTCCACCACCACCACACCCCCTCCCTTCGGCTCCAACACCTCCTCCGCCCCTGCCACCGGATTCTCATTCGGATCTTCCTCCGCTCCCTCCACCACCACCACACCCCCTCCCTTCGGCTCCAACACCTCCTCCGCCCCTGCCACCGGATTCTCATTCGGATCTTCCTCCGCTCCCTCCACCACCACCACACCCCCTCCCTTCGGCTCCAACACCTCCTCCGCCCCTGCCACCGGATTCTCATTCGGATCTTCCTCCGCTCCCTCCACCACCACCACACCCCCTCCCTTCGGCTCCAACACCTCCTCCGCCCCTGCCACCGGATTCTCATTCGGATCTTCCTCCGCTCCCTCCACCACCACCACACCCCCTCCCTTCGGCTCCAACACCTCCTCCGCCCCTGCCACCGGATTCTCATTCGGATCTTCCTCCGCTCCCTCCACCACCACCACACCCCCTCCCTTCGGCTCCAACACCTCCTCCGCCCCTGCCACCGGATTCTCATTCGGATCTTCCTCCGCTCCCTCCACCACCACCACACCCCCTCCCTTCGGCTCCAACACCTCCTCCGCCCCTGCCACCGGATTCTCATTCGGATCTTCCTCCGCTCCCTCCACCACCACCACACCCCCTCCCTTCGGCTCCAACACCTCCTCCGCCCCTGCCACCGGATTCTCATTCGGATCTTCCTCCGCTCCCTCCACCACCACCACACCCCCTCCCTTCGGCTCCAACACCTCCTCCGCCCCTGCCACCGGGTTCT